TATATTAACCAGTTCTTAATACATCTAATTAATCAACGAATGTTTGAATAGTATAGTAGGATATAATATGTTTACTGAATCGATAAAATTGTTCTATCGATTATTTATAATTATTAATCTAACGGTACTTACATATAAGTCACTTTAAATACTTATAAAGAGGAATATTAACATTTTTATGTTAACAAAAAGTGAGAATCACTTTTAACACTAGACACTTGCATTGTTTAACACTTATAAATGATGAATTCGAAAGATAATGCTGTAACAGAACAACGTGTAAGAATGACCGCTCACACAAAAACATATCTGTAACAGATCGTCTAATCAAAGGCGGTGGTAGCACCTTCAATCCTTTTAACCGCTAAAACGTTTAGAAAACACTATTATAGGAGATGAAAAAAATTACAAAGCCCAATCTCTCTTAGATTTTCAATACGATATCTAAGACGATTATGCAACGACAAAGGAGCACGCTTTTTTAACTGTTAATCTCACATAAAAAGAGGACCTTTTGCACCTTTCTATTGTTTGTTGACAGCAAACAAATCGTTTGTTGGACAAAACACGAGGTGAGGGGTTGATATGCTCAAGGGTTGCGGGTTACTTGTCCTTTCCGGTAGGTCCACCTTATCAGCGGGAAGGGATTGTAATGATTTCGCAAAAGTGTGTTTTCATTGTTCATTCATGATTAGATCTTTTAAAGTAAGACGCATTTTTATGATATACTAGTAGTACCTGCGGCTCCGCCCGCGTTCAGATGACCAAAACCCAAATTCTTAGGTTTTACATATTAGTATACTCTTACATTGCAGTTTTTGTATTTTTTCTCAGAAATGAGATATTTTCCTGCGGCAAAAAGTATATTATATGTTGACCCGGATAACCAGCTATCACCATACCAAATTTCATCGAAATCGTTCTAGTGGTTTTTATGTGATGCGGTAACAGACAGACAGACAAAAATTCTAAAAACTATAGATTTGGCCTTTGTATCAATAAAAAGTATATTTCAATAAGATTTTCCAAAAAATATTTAATGTACAGATTCGACTTAGTTACAATTTTATTATATTTATATATACCTCCTAATATTATAAATTAAAAATTATCGCTATCTGCCCTTTTTAATATTTTTTGATAAACTTTGGCAAGGGCCTACTCGTAAGTTAAATAGCGGGGACGATCTATCGGCGGTCATATTTTATCCAAATTCCACTCACTATGTACGTTTAGGTACACTCGAAAACAAATGTATTATTTTTATTAAAATATATAACTCTTAAAAAACATAATAACAAAGTATATCGCATTGTTTTTTTAATATTTATAAAATGTAAAATATTATTGTCGAGATCGTGAGGTAAGCAGGTGTGGTAATCAGTGACTCGGCGGGCGGCGCTTTGTGAATCTAATTTGCCCTTTCACTTAAAAATCATGAAAATTTATATTTTTTAAAAATAATATAAGTGATAAAGTCTAGTTTCTTTTAAATAATTAAAAAAAAATCATTATGTGTTTTTGTGTTATCAAATAATAAAATCAAAGTAGAGTTAGAGAGAGAAGGTAGAGTTCTAGATTACTCAATATTTTTAGTTAAATATATATAAGTAAACTAAAACAGGAATAAGCTATTAGCTACTTAAATAAACTTGTAAATTTCACAAGGTTGACTAATTTCAATATTTTTACTCGTTCCATTATTAGCTCTACCTAGTCTATTAAGAAGTATTTTACTAAAGATACATTAAATTTAATTTGAGAGATCATTCATTTATCATTATCATATATCAAAAATTCAATTATTAATACAATTCAATCAATAATTAAATTAATGAATATGTAATTCATTAAAAATTGTATAAGATTACGCTGCATGTAATTGTATCGGCCTAAAAAAATTAATTTGTATCAATTCCCAATGTTGATGAGATTAATAAAACCTAATCATTAATATCATTAATCAATGGCCTGTCTTTAAAACAATAACCACGTATTAAATCCGTTCTAATGATAAGCTGATAGAGTGACCATCCAATGAATTGAGAAGTACGTTTATGGGTAGGTACAGTAAGAAAAATTTTTTTTGTTAGAAATGTTAAAAACTATAAAATAATTATTGTAAATTGATTATAATATAATTAATATTATGAGTAAAAGTTAAGAAGATAGAAATTAAGTAAATTGATAGTTTAGATACTACTACTAAGTATTTAAAAAATTAAACTATATTTTAAATAAAACTATCTTTTCGGATTTTCTCGGAGAGAGAGTCTCTCCCGTGACCATGATTGTTGTAAAGCATTCGAAACGTCGGGAAACAAACATGCAAATAAATCCGCGACAAAATCCGAAAAGATAGTTTTATTTAAAATGTCAAATATTCGCGTAAATCTAAGAAAGTATTATATTAAACTATAATTTATTTATTTATTTATCAAATCTACAACGTATAATTAATAAAATTTAGTTAAGCACAAAACAAAAATCTTAAGCCAATAAAGTTTCCACTAAAAACATAAACGAAGTAAACTTAAAATTAACAGCAATAAATCGAACAAAAAGCAAGAATACTAAACAACAACAAAATTTATGTTTTTTTTTAATAGATGAGCGAATTTTTTGAACCCATTATTGAATAAGTCGATGTCATGATATTGCTTATTATACATATTGCAGGATCTGACAATAAATGAATTGTCACAATACTTTGTTCTGGAGACAGCGGTGGAGAAAGTAGCCTGAGATCGAGTGCCATGACTAGGGTAATTAAATTATATTTTATTTAATAGGTATGGATATATTTTAAATAATTGAAGGTAGAGTAATGGGAATAGGAGGCTAGATTTTATCGTATGGGGTTTTACTGCTTCATGACCATAAACCTAATAGGTGAATGGTCACCCTAAATGATCATAACGCAGTTAGCCGATCGTCAACAGTTATTTAGAGTAGCGCCCTTGACCAGTCCAACTAAAGCCTGTACAAGATTAATGATTTAACTAATTACACTCGCGACAATCAATGTACCTTTAAATATAGCTTTTTGTTTAAAACATGCTCTAAGGAGGTTGGAAATTGGATGCAAATTATAAACAATAATATACAATAATGTGTCAAAATCTAATGATTAAGCAATCGATGATTGATATTGTAATGAATTTATATACGAGGTTGAAATACAACATTATTGTAATATTAAAATCAAAAAAAAATATAGAAATCCTCCAGCATAAAGTCTTACTGTGTAAAATATTTGGGAATATATAAAAAACTAGCGACTCACCCTCGCTTCGCTCGGGTTCGTCCCTGGCTTGCTTTCCAATACAAACTTTCATCCACATTTTCACCCCCTTACGGGACGATTTTCGGAATAAAAAGTATCCTATGTCCTTCCCAGGGCCTCAAACTATCTCCTTACCAAATTTCATTTCAATCGGTTCAGTAGGTCTAGAGATTACCACCTACAGCGTCACAAACTCACAAACTGACTAACTTTACCTCTTTATAAAAACTTAAAAAAAAACCCGACTTCCAGGCACTAAAATGTAAAAAATAACTAAACGGAGGTTTTACATTTAGAATACATACCTAATTAGATATTTTCGAAGTCATCTTCCATGTACAGACAGCGCAGTAAAAAGTAAAAAGGCAGTGGTAGCCCAGTGGTAACGCGCTCGCTTGGGAAACCGAGTGAAGCGGGTTCAAATTCCGAGTCTCGAACCTTTGATATTTTTATGTGCGAATCATTTCTAACATGATTACCACTTGGCTTACGGTGAAGGAAAACATCGTGAGGAAACCTGCATGTCTGAGAGAACCCAGCAAGTTTTAGAAAAACATGTGAAGTCCGCCAACCCGCACTTGGCTAGCGTGGTGGACTATGGCCTGATCCCCCTCGTATTGGGAGGCCCGTGCCCAGCAGTGGGACGTCAAAAAGGGCTAAATACTAAACATAATATCCTGTGAATATTTAACGCTTATAGTGTAAGTTATAAAGTAGCTGCTGGTATAATTTAAATCGTCACAAAAATTACTGCGAACCATAAAATTTCAAAAGCAATTAAACCTGCAATGACGTCTAGAAGCGTTCGTGGTAGAGGTCGTAAAACTTAAACTTACATAGTGTTTACATAGTATATTATTCAGCAACTCACACAAAAACCTTTGAAATACATGTTTTAAGTGTCTCAATAAAGACATAAAAGATTTTAATGCTACTATATTAAAAATATTACGAAAAAGCTTCGTGTAGGTATATGAAAAATTGTTATCTGCACTATATGCAATATTATAGAGAGGAAAGATTTGTATTTTTGTATGTTTGTAACGAATAAACTCAAAAACTACTGGACCGATTTGGATTAAATTTGATAAAAAGATAGTTTGAGACCCTGAAAAGGACATAAGATATTCTTTATTATGGAAACCATCCCTTAAGGGGCTGAAAATCGGGATGAAATTTTGTATGGGGAATCAACCTAGGGACGAACCCGATTGAAGCGAGGGTGAGTCTCTAGTTTTAAATAATTATTTTTAGGCTGACAGTAATTGTTGTGTATTTTTAAAAGCAAAAGTTATCGATTAGATTTCTTGTATTAACCGTAGATATTATCCTCCTGAGGGTCGACCATCAACTTTTACATAGCGATTTATTTCCGATGCAGTTTAGTTTAGGTTTAAGCAGAATCATCAACAGTGTTGTAGGTTCGATCGTACTGAATCTAACTGGTGAGAATTAAATGAATAATATTTTTTTATCCTGCGACCTAAACTGAACGTCTTATAAAGCTACGGTACGAAATGCCGAAGCTATTTTTTAGGTCATAAATTAAGCAGCAATGAGAATTGATGATAGACCCTCTGATAAGTTAAAATGATCGTGACATTTTGAACGGCTACCTAACACACATTGTGAGTTAGGTAAAAAAAGTGAAAGGATAAATTATTTTGTATCTATGTGCCGTAAAAAAAATCATGTTATTTTAATATGGACTTACCTTCTCTCCTCATGCCCATTTTTAGACACTTCCTGAGTCGGCAGTACTGGCATTGATTTCTATGGTGCTGGTCGATAGGACAGTTCCTGTTCCCTCTACAGGAATATGTAAGGTTCCTTCTTACAGACCTCTTGAAAAAGGATTTACAGCCTGTGGAAAATATTAATTATTAATAATTTTATAAGTACCTATAAAAAGTATAAATTATAATTCACTAACAAGTAGCATTCAATTTTTTGCTTACGTAAATAGCCTATGTGCTATCTCCAGGTTATAGCCTATTGTACACAAAATTTCATTCAAATCTGTTTAGCCGTTTCAGCATGAAGGAGTAATAAACATACACACATACATACAAACAAACTTTCACATTTACGAGTATAATAGAAGTTGAAGTTTATTAATAAAAAGAGTCACATAACAACTAAAAGTATTATTTAGTGTACTAATTATGGAGCTAAATCTGCTTCTTATTGCTATTATATTCAAATTTAACAAGATTCCAATTAAAATACTATAGGCTATTAAATTATATTATATCTTTCAATTGGTTCTCTAAAAGCTTTATTACATAAAAAATAACGTGGGTGGGATGGTATGTTTGTTCTCTCTCGAGGCCAATATTGGCTGCCAATGTAAAGCTATAATATTCTTGAATACTTGCTCTACCTACAGGTTGGTGATAAAAAACCTTAGTAGTTGGCCAAATGTTGGATCTTATTATAATCAGTATAATGTCGTGTTAGTCATGTTAATTTGTTTAAAGTTATTTAATTATATTTACATATTCCCATATATCAGGGCTACTCGATACGATAATTCGTCGATTCGTATGGAAAAGTCGAAATAGTTAACATTCTAACTTAACGACTCACAGATACTACGACCACCTCATGAATATCTTATATCTATTATAATAGAAATTATGTGCATAAGGCCCATTATACAGTGATGCCGGTTTTGTGAAAAAAAAACAACACTAATATTGTGTATTACTGGCAATAAAAATCGATTTTTCGAAACATGCGTAAGATTAAAACTTTAGCTAATTTATAGATATGTAACATACAATTATAATTAATTAAAATTAAAATGAGATTCGTATAATTATTTTATCATTCCAAGAATTTTTATTGAAGTTTACCTTATTTTGAATGATAATGTGGAGGAAGCATTATTTTTAATATCCCGTGTGGTAACATTTCCCAAATTAGTATTGCTATATACAAAAAATCTAAAAGTCACATAAAATCCTCTATAATAAAATATTCAAGATAAAGGAAATTACTAAAACATAATATGACGTTTTTATAACTACTGGGGAAAAATGTTATCAAATGAAATAATAAAACTATCGAACATATATAATTAATGAGTTTTTTTAAGTGATAAAATTCTGAATCATTCACTTTGATTTGCAAATATTTAATTTTCGGTGAAATTATTATTAATTATAGCACTTTATCAACTTAAATTGTACAGGAATATGTTTAATATTATAAATATTTGTTACGTTTTATGAAATTTTTATTTTATCTATATTATAATATAGATATCGCTGTTGGTTTAAGGCGATAGGGTGTAAATTATGACTAGGTTTATATATCGTTTGATTTTATTTATTGAACTGGTTTGCGTTATGAGACCATGAAGGAAACTTTCTGTAGATCAGAAACGCACTTATGTCAACAGTTTGGTTATTTGTTCGGATTATAGTGATTTAAATATTATAATTTAGTAGAAAGCGCTCGTTTGAAGCCAATATTCATACTCGCGTGTTAGAAAACCATTAGTTTACATATCATGAACATTGTAGTAGTTAAGAGCTTAAATTATCACCGAAAAATTTGACATTTCGTTCTTTTATGTTTTACTAATTTATACTTATGTGTATAAAATATGGTTAGATAGACTTTGCGTTAGCTTAAGTGGTATTATAATATTATCTTATTAAAATTGTAGACTAGGTACGACACGTTTCTGGTGGAGAAACACACTACTGATAGAGAAAGCTCATAGTTTTGATATATTCCTGACAAATCATTCTTTTATTTCTAAGTCACACTGAATGAAAATCATTATATTGAATCGCTGATTAACATGCATTTTTCAAGAGATCTAACTATTTAAGACTATATCAAATTGTATTGTATTCATCCCTTTTAAACGTCCCACTGCTGGGCACGGGCCTCCCTTCAATACGAGGGGGATCAGGCCATAGTCCACCACGCTGGCCAAGTGCGGGTTGGACTTCATATGTCTTTCGAAAACTTAATAGGTTCTCTCAGAAATGCAGGTTTCCTCACGATGTTTTCCTTCACCGTAATCAAGTGGTAATCATGTCAGAAGTGATTCACACATGAAAATATCAGAGGTGCGAGTCCCGGGATTAGAACCCGCTTCATTCGGTTTCCCAAGCGAGCGCGTTACCACTGAGCTACACTGCCTACCAAATAATAAATAAAAATTAATGTTTAAATATATTCTGCAATTTGGTTTAAAATGTACAACATTTTATGTTTTGTTCGAGAATTTATTATCTTATATCCTCTTTATATTTCTTCGTATAAGCTTCGTGTAATAGGGGAAAACATTTCATAGCATCGCGCGATACCGTTAGCGCTCTGCACAGATAAGCCGCGACACGGTATGCGGTAGAGCCGAAACATAGAGTACATTGCAAGAGATTAGGCATATTGTTCACTTCTTATAGGAAACTATCGTTTATGTAACAATTAAAACAAAACTTTCAGACAAAACCCTTTGTTATATTTATATACTAGCATTGCCCGCGGCTCTGCCCACGTTCAGATGACCAAAAACAAAATTCTTAGGTTTTACATATTAGTATATTCTTACATTGCAGTTTTTGTATTTTTTCTCAGAAATGATATATTTTCTCGCGGTAAAAAGTATCCTATATGTTGACCATGACTACATGTTGTACTAAATTTCATCAAAATCCCTCCAGTGGTTTTTCTGTGATGCGGTAACAGACACACAGACAGACAGACAGTCAAAAATTTTGAAAACTATAGATTCGGCCTCTGTATCGATAATAATGTTTATTTCAATAAGATTTTCCAAAAAATATTTAATGTACAGATTCAGCTTAGTTACAATTTTATTATATGAATAGATAATGTATTTTAAAGTCTTGCTAAATTATAAATACGTAATATGTATGTTTATGATTGCTTTTATTTAATTATCATAGCAACTGATAATCTGATATACGTTAATTTGATATTTTGTAGCGATAGGTTATATATTGAAAAATTACTTAGGGCTAGAAATTATTAAAAAAAAAACTTCGAGCTTTTTCTTTGTGGAGAAACAGAAAAAAATTAGTGAATGTCCATTTTATTCTTGGCCTTTACGTAATAAAAGCGCACTATCGTAAAAATATTACTAAAACGAATATTTGCACACAATTTTGTTTTTAAATGACATTTGTATCGTGCAAAAAATTGACTTATTACACGGTACATATAACTTTGCTATATTTTAAGCATACGAAACTATAAATTTTAAATATATATTATATAATAATAAAATAGTGTTTCGAAGCTAACTATATCCGCTCACGTAAGTGCAGGCGATGCGCTGTATCGCGCTGCCCAATTACTGCTATCGCTGGGAATATCGCGGCGCTTGCAAATTGCGATTTGGACAACGATTTGAAATGATACAATGGTAGGGGTAAGGCACAGATTTCTCTAATGCTATAATATATAATCTGTATATAATATGTTACATATGAAATAAATAATAAATAATTTTTAACCGACTTTCAAAAAGTAGGAGGTTATCAATTCGTCCGGAATCTTTTTTTATGTACTGAATTACTGGAAAACGCCTGAACTGATTTGGATTTTTTTTTGTTTCGAAGGGTTATAATACTTCCCAAGTGGTCCCATGTAAATTTTATCAAAATCAGTCGAGCGGTTTTTTAAAAAATCAACAATAAATTACTTTTTAAATAGGTAAATCGTTTAATCGAATATGTTATTAAGAACTTTCTTAATACTAATTACCTGATTATTACGTCTACGCTAAAAATGGAAAAATAAAATCTTGAAAAAAACCAACTTCCAGGCACTAAAATGTAAGAAATAACTAAACGGGGGTTTCATTTAGAATAGATAACTAATCAGATATTTTTGAAGTCGGTGCCAGCCGATATAAAGTAAATCTAATATATAATATTTTCTTATTTATTTCTATTAGATATTCATATCTAATATTGTCAGCTAGCACCGACTTCGTATCTATTCTAAATGTAAACCCCCGTTTAGTTATTTTTTACATTTTAGTGCCTGGAAGTCGGTTTTTATTTATTTTTTTAAGTTTTTATCCTATTTGTTTAAAATAAACATTAAATAACAATTTAGCACAAATCACTGTAATATAGATCTAAAATTACACACAGCAAGTAAAAAAACAGATGGTTATAGATTCTGGACTTGAATATAATTTTACGTTACATAATATATTATTAAAAACTAAACAACTTAAAGTAGGAAAACCGCATTAAACACCGCTTGGTACAATCTAAATAATATAGTGTCACTAAAATACGCAGGAAAAATGTATCTCGTAATAGACTGGTACGATAATTAAAGTGACACTTAATCGTTTTGAGATTATAGCTCGGATACTTTACCATAAATGTTTACGCAGGCATTGAAAAGAATATGAATGTAACTAATATAATATAAATAGTTTTTTATATTTAATATGTTTTTTTAGACGCGTGTTGTAAGTTTTAAAATGATGCATATAATGCAGTCATTGAGTAGGGAATATATTATATACTAGCTAGGCACGTTTTAAATAGATACGAATAGTTATTAGCCAGCCATATAAAGTTTAATTTTTTTTCGTTAATTTTTTTGGTGTTTTAATACTTCTTGTCCTATTCCGGACTAAGACAAATTCAAATATCATAAAAATTGGTGCAGCCGTTCTTGAGTTTTATGTCACGTAACACGGGAACGCGGTCGAACGGGATAAAAAGTATCCTATGACCATCTCCTGGTCCTAAGCTACATCTACTTCCCCACCATTTTTTAGCTAAATCGGTTCAGCCGTTCTTGAGTTATAAATAGTGTAACTAACACGACTTTCTTTTATATATATAGATTACG